TGTAACTTCTTCATACGAGCTCCGTTTTCGACATTCTTTATATCCATATGAACCTATCGACGAGATTTACAACTTTCATTTAGACTTCATCGACTAATTATCACTTTATTTTTAAAGTTATATTTTTAAAAAGCTTAGACTGTTAAAACCCATATAAAAATCATAACTCTTCCATATGACATTCATTCTCAATTGCCTTTGTATCGACGAAATTGTATCTTAGAGATCTTCAACTTCCGTTTAAATCGTTTCAGCTAACAATCAACCGATTTCTATTTTAGTTTTTATGTCGCGCACTACTGAGTTGAAACTTCAAAAAATGATAACTTCCTCATATAAAGTCAGATTACGATGTTCTCTATATACAGAGTTCACTTTTATGACTACTACGACTTTCGTTTAGGTTATTTATCCTACATAACCTTCAATAAAAAAACATTTATTATCATCATGACAAATAATTATCCTATTATTTTTTATTCATCTAGTCACATCTTGTGAGCATTAGACGAGATGTTTAAGAATATCAGGGTACCTCCAACAAAAGTAGTAGACACTATTATTGTTAATTTATAGTCATTTTGTTAATTCATACTCATTGTGTAAATATAAAAGTAAAGAGGGTTGTGGTTGTTGGCTGAACGGATTTGCTTACTATTTTTTTCATTTATTTTTGTAGTCTTTTTACTTTTACTTCCCTCATACTTTTGTACTTCGCTGCTATTTAATCACTTTCTAATTGTCGACATTTTAATGTATTTTCTATTTTTTTTAAAAATGCATAGGGACCATTTACAATACTTATTTACATGTTTACAATTCATTAAAAACATAGGGACAATTTGAAATCAAACATATTAGTTTGTTGGCTAATAAATAATGACAATAACTCATTTATTTTCTACTAGGTGTGAAATTCATGTATTACATGATTTTATATATATATATATATATATATATATATATATATATATATGAAATTTTAACAATTTGAAAAGTTTGAATTTATAAGAAAAATGAGAAAAAATTTGGAATTATTAAAATTAATGAGACTTTAATGTATTGAATACATTACATATATAAACCATTTGTTCTAATAAATATCTTACATATATATTAACTTACATATTAAATGTGAAATTTTAATTTAATAAAATGAAAAATACAATAAAATGACAAGTGGAAAATAGATAATTTAAAAATTCTAGAAAATATCAAGTGTCCAAATAAAAGAGAAGAGAACATGTGGCAAAAAATTCATTATTGACAAAACTTCAAAAATGGTCCCTGTAGTTTCACAAAATCTAAAGTTTGGTCCCTAATTTACAAAAACCTTACAAATCGTTCATGTGGTTTCAAAACTTTTAACATTTGGTCCTTCTGGCTCACTCTGTTACCATTTGGCCGTTAAGTAATTGGCATTTTGGTCATTTCACTATCTAGGCGGTCATTTATAAGGTTTTCTATTACTTTTTTAAATAAATAAATATATAAAATTTAATATGCAAGAGGTCCCACCTCTTTCTCTCTTTCTATCTCTCTCTCTCTCTCTCTCTCTCTCTCTCTCTCTCTCTCTCTCCCTCCCTCCTCACTCACTCACTCACTCTCTCTCTCTCTCACTCTCTCTCTCTCTCTCTTTATCTCACACACACACACACATCGTGTAACATCCCGAAATAGCAAGGGTTAAGTGGAAGGGCTAAAAGTGTAATTTGGAAAGAGTGACTCGGCGAGTCCATGGATGGACTCGGCGAGTAGAGTCGCGACTTGGTCGCGTGTTAAATAGCCGACTCGGCGAGTCATTGAGATGGACTCGGCGAGTAGGCGCTGAGTGGAGATAACCCTAATTCTCGGGGTGAGCCCTATATAAAGAGCATTATGTTTCCTCCCCAACCCCTTTATCACCCTTTGAGTCCCTGAAACCCTAAAATCGTGGAGAAGCACCATTGTTGAGTGGATTGGGGCTTGGAGAAGTATTTGTTGAAGAAAGTTTGGAAGTTTGAAGGTATGGAGCAAGGGGCTTTGCTTGGATTCGAGTTCCTTGCAGATTGGGGTGTTCTTTTGAGGTAATATCTCGTTCTTAGGCTGTTGTTATCTTGTTTATTCATTTTTGGGGTTTGAGGGAAGCTTATCTTGGGTGATATTGGAATCTAGAGGTTAGATCTGAGGTTGCTACCTCAGATCTGGATTGGAGGAGAGTTGGAATGCAGGAAAGTCCCTGTGTTGAGTGTTGGATGAAGCTATATTGTCCCAAACCTTAGCCCTAATGTGCAAAATGCATAGATCTCTTTGGATTCACGTAAAGATTGCCACTTTACGTGATGGATGAGTTGTAGGAGGCTAGATCTATGTTTTGGACCAATTGCATGGCCTGGGATGCTTCTGTATGGTTTTAGACCAGTGGTACTCGGCGAGTCACATGGGCGGACTCGACGAGTTGCTTGAAGACGAGCTGAGACTCGACGAGTTGGAAAAACAACTCGGCGAGTTGGATGAAGATGGTCTGGAACTCGACGAGTTGGATGAACAACTCGGTGAGTAGGTTGAAGATAGCCTTAGACTCGGCGAGTCTGTTCTTGGACTCGACGAGTCTTGTCGAAGAGTCCCAATATTTTCTGGTTGAGTCGAAGAATTGGTGAGTCAAGGGATGACTCGGTGAGTTGTATGCGGGTGGACTCAGAGTTGTTGGACTCGGCGAGTCTCGGGGTGACTCGGCGAGTTAGGTCGCGGATTGAGTGAAGTTTTGAGTATGGGAACTCGGCGAGTCATAGGGTTGACTCGGCGAGTAGGGTCAGTCAGGGGTTGACTTTGACCTAGTAATTGACCAAGGGTTAACCAGTGGTTTCCAGGGGTATTTTGGTAATTGTTGATTATGGTTTTGAGTTCAGTGCATTGGTGGCTGTCCGGTGGTGGAGATTGTATCAGGGATCGGAGCAGCTTGGGTTATTTGTTCAGTCGGCAGTTTCGAGGTGAGTTATCCTCACTATATCTATCGAGTTTAAGGCACCAAGGCCGACCCTTTTATCGGATGGAAATCCGGGTAATTATCTGTTGTATGATATTGCAGGATATGGGCCGGAAGGCGTTACGTTATGGGCCGGAAGGCATTACATGTTGTGGGCCGGAAGGCAATGCGTTGTGGACCAGAAGGTCATGGCCTGGAAAGGCGTATGTGCGTAATTATTATGTTGGCTGCGTCGTAGGGTGATGTTATGCTAGTGATCGGCTAGGCTGGTATCTTGGTTAGGGTAATGATATGTTAGGTGATCTGTTGATCGAGTTGCCAACTGTGAACTGTTATATGATTATATGTTATATGCATGGTTGTTCTATATTCTGTCATGATGTGCATGCTTTTTATGTTGCGGGCCGGAAGGCGATATGTTAGGGACCGGAAGGCAATGTGTCATGGGCCGGAAGGCGATATATTTTGGACCGGAAGGTTGTGGCCTGGAAGGGCGTATATGTGGTTGGTATTTTGGGGGTATCTTACTAAGACTTCGGGCTTACAGTTGTGGTTTTTTATGTTTTCAGGTTCTCAGGAGTCTGTGGCAAGGCAAAGGCGTGATCGTATCGTTCCTCGTGTTGGTGTTTTATGAAATGGACCTGGGAAAACACTCTGTTAAATAATGTATTGAAAACCTTTTTGTAACAACGTTATTAAAATGGATTGTTTTGAAAAGTTTTAATTGTTTCTCGTTACACATCGATCAACAAAAAAACTCATCACCATATTCTTCCCCACTTCACTTACACATTTGAACATTGAATGTTAAAACACACCATAAAATCAGAATGCATACAATTGGAAATACTAACCCAAATCAATCTCAACCACAATTCACGCAAATAAAAAAACCTTAAATCATGCTAAATTTGTACGTGATAACAACATATTCCCAAATCGTACAATTGCAACAACGAACAAGAGGAATTGACATAAACTAAGTTAAATTTAAGAGAAAAAAGAGCAAATCAAATAAACTTATCAACCCTATATCAAAATCGACATTAAAAAACTTCAAATTTCAAATTACTAAAAACTAAAAGGTCGATAATTCAGTATTGAGAAAGAAAATCATACCACCATGTAAGGGGAGAGTTGGAATTGAAGTAGAAGAACTTCGATCTTGTCCCTGTTGACTTGATTCATCGATGTTTTTCCCTAATTGTTTCAGATTAAATCAAACCAGAAACCTTTTTTCTTTTCTAAAAGAATCCAGAGAACATAAAAGAATCAAGATTGAAGCATCGAACATAAAAGAATCAAGATTGAACCTTTTTTCCAGAACGTAAAGTAAATTGAGAAAATGAAACCCAACATCGAAGCCCCAGAAGCAGTAAATTGAGAAAAAGAACTAGCAAATCAAAACCTAATATTTTGATCCAGCAAATCACATGGCTTCAAAAAACCCGGACGAAGAGAGAAAGAGCGTGAAGAAGAAGCAGGAAGAGGCTACACGAATTTCGATCCAACAAATCATATGACTTAATAAAACTTATCGAAATCCTTGATGCTTTAGAGTTCTATTTCAATTACTATTTGCGTCCTCCGTCTCTTTCTTCGACGACAACGGTTTGAATCAAGACATTTGTTTCATGAGGAAGAAGATATCGTGAAACCACATCGAAACTAGAGTTGGGAAGTCGTTTGTGAAGTGAAATTGGGAAAAATACCATGGGATTTCCTTCTCATCGACTTTGGGGTCGCTAAACCGAGAGAGAGAGAGAGAGAGAGAGAGAGAGAGAGAGAGAGAGAGAGAGAGAGAGAGAGAGAGAGAGAGAGAGAGAGAGAGAGAGAGAGAGAGAGAGAGAGAGAGAGACCCTTTATTAAATAATTATATATTTTTTTATTTTTTTTAAATAAAAAAACTTTATAAACGGTCCATATTTTGTGAAATAACGGAAATTCCCTTCATTTAACGACCAAAAGCTAATGGAGTTAGCGAAAATGACCATAGTTTTGTAAATTAGGAGCCGAACTCTATATTTTCGAAAATCACATTGGATATTTTTTAAGTTTTGTCTTTCTTTATTTATTAGGAGGCAAGGAGATGTTGTAAAATTTAGATTTATAACCTACAAAATCACAGGCATATTCGGTTGCTTGAATCTATCCCCAAATCGGTTTCTTTACGTAGGAGAGACGACGGTAAGATGATGGATCCCGGAGCCGGCCCCACCACAGCAACCCCCAGCACCGATGCTCCCTCGTCAGCCGGTTCGCTGCATTCAACGGACACACCTGCAGCAGCCGTGCAACGGTGGGGTTTTGTGGTGTCACAACGCTTCCAACATTTGCTCGACAAGTCAACGCCGTTCTTGCTCTACCGGTGGATCGTTTTCTTTGCCATAGCGCTCATCTATGGCGTCCGCGTGTTTTTTGTGCAAGGGTTTTACGTGGTCTCCTACGCACTCGGGATATACATCCTTAATCTGCTCATAGGGTTTCTATCTCCTCAGGTTGATCCGGAATTCCAAGACCTTTCCGATGGTCCTACTCTTCCCTCTCGAAGCTCCGATGAGTTCCGCCCTTTTGTTCGTCGTCTTCCCGAGTTTAAGTTTTGGTAATTACTGTTTCTACTCTAAATTCGATTTTCCAATTCCTGATTTCAATTGCAATATTAACTCAGCGATCAACTGATTTAGTTACTTTAGATTTAGATATTAGATCAAATAGGATCTCGTAACAAATCTAACGATCAACAACCCAACAACACACGCAAATTGATAGCAAGAAGAACTGGACTGTTGATTTGCAGCGTAATCTAGGGTTAGCAATCAGAATGTTTATGCTGTTAATTGCTAACCAATTAACCATCATTCTTCAAAGCCACCAGTTAAATAATTCTGTTACTGCTGATAACACTGTTCCAATTACTCAATTGTACTTGATAAAATATCTGTCTGGATCCATTTCAAGCAAATTGGTAAGTTCTTCATATCGAAGTTGCTGAATACAACAACACACCAATATTATGCAGATACAAATGACCTTCTCCTTAAAAAGCTAACCCTGTTACCCAACATTCCAGTCTCTTTTGTTAACCCTTAACAATGAAATCACCAGATGTCAATCTTGTTTTCATTGATGACAGGTACTCGATAACAAAAGCCTTCTGCATTGCTTTTGTTTTGACATTCTTCAGTGCATTCGATGTGCCTGTTTTTTGGCCTATACTCCTTTTTTACTGGGTCATCTTATTCGCTCTTACCATGAAGAAACAAATACTGCATATGGTCAAATACAAATACGTCCCATTTTCGTTTGGAAAACAGGTACCCTTTTTTATCCCCATTTTACATTAAAGTTACAAATTATATTCATTTTGGTTCCATTTGTTAAGTAGCTTATTTTATACAGACTTACAATGGCAAACGGGGGGCAACATCAACCGAGAGTACAAGTCTTCTTCCTAGAGACTGAAAGATGTTCAAACAGTTTTATAGATTTTGTTTCCTGTACTACCCCTGAAAGAAGTTAGACTTGACTTTTAATGGTTTGTTTTATGTAGGAGATCATTTCGTACAGGTTTTTAGTAGTTGTAAGTTTATTGTTATAGACAAATGAAGCTTAAGTCTTTTTAAAGAGTTATCATAGTTGTGGATCTATTAAACATGTGGGGAAATTGAGGATCAAATGACATTATGGGATAATATACCTGTTTGACATAACAAGTTGTACTGTGTTTGAAAAACGTGCGTTGGACTAACATTGGGTGTGATGTCAATGTGATGGAAATTGTAAGGTGGGACATGGGCTTGTTCTCAATCTCTTGTATGTGCAACATGTGTAAATGTATTCCTCATCTTTTATCAGATGAAATAGTTTTAGAAAGTTTGTCGAGTCTGTCTAGTTATCAGTTATATGAGTTAGTGGAGGTTTCTAGCAAAATATGAATTTTTTAGTCATCTGTCTCAAGCGCGTGCCACACCCTTACAAGTCATACTTCAATCCATGGCAGATATGATATTGTTGAAGGCACATACATCCATGGCAAATGAGTTTTCGGCTAAACATGAAAACAAACATCCATATATGAAATTGTTGAAGGTACATACATGTCATGATTCTGATAAACACACATCCATTGCAAACCGATAACATGATTTTTGGGTTTATTTTTGGGATGAACATGGTTTTGTACTTGCACGTGAAAATTGTGGGTATTTCGAGTTCATCCATGGGGTTTCTTTTTGGGTTTGTTGGGAATAAGCGTTTTTCAAGTTCAACCATGGCAAATTTAGGTTTTTTTGGAGCTCTTATATGATAAATCTGAAACTGATTTTCACGTTCATCCATGGAGTTCATTGAGTTGATAGTTGGGTGTTCATCCAGATTTGAGTTTTTGATAGAACAAAACACAAGAATTACATATCCAAATAAAATTGTCGGAAGTAGGGGTGTAAACGAGCCGAGTCGAGCCGAATACTACCAAGCTCGAAGCTCGGCTCGACTAAAATACTCGAGCTAGAAACTCGGCTTGAACTCGACTTGAGCCTTGATTTTAAGCTCGAGCTCGAGCTTGTAAAATACTCGACAGTCTCAAGCTCGACTCAGCTCGGCTCGATTAATATTTAAAAAAAAAAACAAAATCACTAAATTGAGAAAGAAATATTAAACAATCCACATGTAAATGTCCAAACTACCAAAAAAACCACTATTAATCACCGAATATCAATATAACATAAATCGTATACATCATAAATGAATAATTATAAAGAAATGACATATATCTTATAAATGAACAATTATAAAGAAATGACATATATGTAAATTACACTAAGCTCGTGAGTCTTATGAGCTGAGTATTTTTGTACTCGAGCTCGACTCGATTAAGGTCGAGTCGATTTCGAGTATTTTCCGAGTCGGTCTCAAGTTTCTCGCTAGTTGGCTTGTATCACTTACACCCCTAATCGGAATATTCATGTTTTACTAGAGAAGATGACTGGAGATTTGTTGGAGCTGCTTGTGGCACCTACAGTAGTCGGTCATAATGATATATTTTTTAACATGGTAAACAAGTTTAATGATGATATGTATACAAAAAGATAGGACTAAATGTGTACATCGAATAATGTTCCTTACACTTATAACTCTTTAAAAAATTGATTAAACACTTAAGAAAATGCTATGGAATTGAGTTAGTCGACTTGGTAACCAAGTAGTGATGGAATAGAATCATGAATAGTAATTTGTTGGAATGTGTCGGAATCCAAGAGACAAACATGTCTTTATACTATGTCTATTTATGAGTTTTTCTTTTGTGAAAAAAAGATAAGGAAATAAAGTATCTTTTAGGATGGAAATTGATGAAAAAGGAGAAAGGGAAAAGAGATTTTATTGAATTTAGAAAGAAATAGAGGAAATATTTCACAATAATGAAAATGTATCGTTTCTTATGTACAAAGAGAAAATTTTAATCACTTTACCTTCCCTTTACTTGAAAAGAAAAAAAAAAAAACTTTTTTTCAAACTGAAAACATAATTAAAATAATATTTTATTCTTTCTTTTTCTTGTACTTTTTTTATTCTATTTTCCTGGTTCTATCTAGGGAGAGAATTACGGGGAAACTGAAAAATACTATTACAATCTTTCTCTCATTCTATACAATTCAAGAAATAGAGAACAAATGGTGGTAACTATTTTTATATTGTTTATATTCATGAAAACTTTGAAAAAAACTTTATTGATATTTTTTTATTTAATTTTTTCAAATGTACCCTCTATGGCTCTATTAGATATAAAAAAACATAATATTTTACATGTTTAGTTACTTTATAAGCTAATTATCAACTGTTATGTTTTAGCATATATTTTTTTCAGCTAATTCGTCGACAATCTTAAAGTTTTAAATTTGTGTTTGTTGCTTTTGGTCATCTTGTTAATTCTTAACTAATATACTCTGGTACTTAACTAATATAATATGGCTTCTATAAATAGAAATTCGTTTCATGAACAACACGTTTTCATCCATTTTTGCAGTAAAATATGTTTATAGATGGAAAAGTCAAGCTTGGAAAGAAAAAATAAAAAGAAACGATTCTTTCAATTTTCCTCTTCCTCATGTTGCATGATCATTAGTCGTTAGGTAGTAATATTTAAAAAAAAAATCAGTTTAATTTCATAAATAAATAATCATATATCTTTGTTTGTTATTCCAATACGATAAAACCTTTAATCCTGTTCCAGATCGAACTCAAACTCGTATAAAATCCTTCTATAAATATTACAATCATTTTTATTTTCTTCCCTAAAGACAACTTTTTTTTTTTTTTTCTTTTCTTTTCTTTTTTTTTTTTTTTTTTTGTAAAATCAATGCAAAATTCAATAATTCAAACCCAGTTAATGTGAAAATATATCAGTTTCTCCGGCGGTAAGCCATCAAGATGCCAGTGGCTGGTAATACCCATAAACACCGTAAACCGTCTGTGTTGCCGTGAGGATAAGCAGAATCACGGCGGCGAAAAACGAAATAATAGCCCAAGGATTGCTGAAATAGTTATGAATTAACGTCGCTCGCCATGAATTCCACCGGTGATTATAAAACTGGTTCACCTTCTCCGATAACTCCGACAGATAACTGTTATTAATATCGAAAACCACCTCCTGACATAACCGATTGAACAGATCCGCTACATCTGCATCACTCCCTAACCAATGCTCAAAAATTCCACTGTAATGGAGGTACCCCACGTCCTCCGGCGAGTTTATCAAATTATCCATAAAAATCACATACGACGTTATCTCATTCCCGCAGTCCAAATGCGATTGCTCGAATGCTATCAGATTAAGAAACAGAGATTTCGTCCCATCGTGGATTAACAGCCGGGGGATCTTTAGAACTCCGTTTTCGAATTTAATATCCCAGAAACGATCGGTTTTTCGTTTTTTGAACTTCATTCCGGCTTCTTTAAGCTCGGTTACACAGTGGATGAGCTGTGTTCTACGTTTATCGGCGACACGGTTACTATGCGACCACCGTTTGATCCATCTTCTTGGCTCCATCTGTGGTCCTCTACTCAATAGACTCTGCCGGAAAACATGGAGGCAGTGAAGATATGACTGGTCCGATAACGGGTCAAACGCGCTGGAAACGTCGTACCCTCGAGACGATTTCATTTTGCTCCGGTGGCTTTTCGTCAACGGTTCATCGGTTGGCATTAACGGGTCGAAGAACCGTAGAGCCAGCTTCGCGACTAACCCTTTTTGATCCGGTTGACCGAATTGGAGCCCTAATAATCTGTCAAGGATGAACAAAGGAATCTGATTCTCGAGCATTATCATGTCTCTTTGAATCGAATGCATCGACCCTCGCATTGCAAAAACTGGATCGCATCGGGAATAACCGAGTTCCGAGAACCCTTCTGCAGCTCCCCGGAAAAGCTCGAGTGCAAAACAGCCATCGAGAACCATCATTTCCACGAATTCGTTACTGCTGATAGTAATCTGTCCTTCGTAGCAAGCTCTTGCCCTTTCTTCGAGTTCTTTAATGGAATCGATGTAGAGTTTAGCATCTTGATTACCACGTTTCAGAATCTGGTGAAACGCCCGCCATTTATGGCGTTCCATGTTTCTCAGGCGTTTTTTCCCATGGTGGTAAGGCCCTAAAGAGACGATGTTTGGAATATAAGCTTTATCTTCACCATCGCGTAAATACTGAGGAACTTTATAGATGCTGAGCTTTCCCCAAGTTCCGGCGACGTCGTCTTTCTGAGCAACCTCAAGCCTTTCTCTAACGGTGATCATCCATTCCGATTCCGGCGATTTTGGACCTTCCTTTATGGTTTCAGAACCACCATTGATATCAATCTGCAGTGGTTCATATGACTGTTGATTCTCTTCGCCGGAAAAGTTGATCGATCGGCTGGTAGTTGGGATTCCGGCGTCGACAGTTTCTTTGAGCTTTAGAGTAATTAGATACCAGCTCAAAAGCTCCTTGTTGAACACAGCCACCATTTTTTCTGTTGAAGAAAGATTATGCTAATGCTCTCAATAAAAAATGGAACCTCGATTGTTCTTATTATATTTCTAAGTAACTTGCGAAAACAGAATGATGGCAAGAAAGTGACGTTACAACTGTTCAAATAATATCAATAATTTATATCTGATTTTATCCAATATAATGCTTAAACGCAACAAAAATTGACTTTTGGATTAAAAGGATTAGTTAATTAATTCGCATTCAACTCTAAAAACCACATGCTTTTCTGACTCTAATGATATCTTCATCTAATAGAAATAGGTTTGCTTTAGTTGCTTGTACTGTTCAAGTGCTTAAAGCACGTTTTATGGTTAACATTCTGCATATAACCCTAATCGTGTCAATGGTCAATTTAATAGCTGGATAACCCGACCCGACCCAGCGTCATGAGTCGTGGGTCATGACCCTACAACGGCCAAACCTCCACCAACACCCCATTACCTTCTATGATTATGAAAATGATTTCATTTCACGTGCCACATTCTTTTGGCATGATTAAGCCACGTGATATTTTATATATAAATAAGGGTCATTGTCTAATGAAGCTTCTAAAGTGAGATCGTTCACACCACATACTTGTCCTAA